TCACACTACGTCTTAGAGGTTTTATACGGACATTTTTAAGAGGGAACTGAACACGCGAAGTACATGGGGGGCACAGACAGATAGAAGCAAGACCAACTCGATTTTGGGGTTCTCAAAATATATATTCACCTAAAAGGTCTTTCATTTACTACCCAAATTTACAAATTCCCAAAACTGTGTTATGAAAGTTACACTCAAATGATCGAACGGAATCTGGGCCCAGAAAAGAGATAAAAAATCAAGTATTGGTCAGCAAATTTGCAATTTCAAAGTTATAAAATGGACTTTACAATTACTAGAAAGAGGATGTTACATGAGCTGTGCTAAAATTATTTGAGACTCTAAAACTCAGTAATCAATGTCTCCAGAAATCTAATTGATAAACTAGCTTACGTTTTGAGTTGTAACCTTGTCTCAATTATTCAATTCTACAAAAAATGCCAGTCAGGCCCCAAAGGGACAATATGGCACTCATATTCATTAAATATATGTTTAATGACACGTTTAAACGAAGATCGAAATGTCTGAAAATAAATAAACCCATTTGAAGGCAGTGGAGAAAAAGCATTTGACTTTCGCGAAAAGCAAAAAACCAAAAACAAGCAACCAAGCACACACACAATCAAACAAACACCCCAACAAACAAACAAACAAACAACCCAACCGACCAACCAACAAACAACCCAACTAACGGAGAACGATTCTCCCTCATTATTCTTGACTATGATGTATTTGGTCTTCAATATCACATTCGCATAATAGAAGAAGAGCTTCGCAATATCTATCCTATCACTAGTCGTCTTATGTTTAGGCAAACCCGACCTATCTTTTGGTGGCAAACGTTAAATTCTCTCTTCTCTCTCTGTCGTCTGTGCCTCCGGGCTTTCCAATCAGGCGTATAACAAACAGCGGACTTTTGGCGGACGACTCTTCCAATAAGCCTTCTCGGGGTCTCCGAAGCGAGTCTAAGACCGTCTCGTAAATCGAATTACCCGGCAAAAGTACACGGAATGTCGCGAGAAAAAAAAACCGAGGGCCTCCATCGGCTCGCCATGATTGTTACCGGGCTGTGGCCCCACAGACATCCGACGGTTTTCCCGCTGCTATTTTTTGGTTTGTTATCTTTGAGTATTGTGGGGATGGGTGGACGAAAACATTCCTCCCCAAAAAAGAAACTGCCGAAATGCGTTAAATTAATAAGCAGGTATTGGAAAGGCTTGCCTGTTTGTGCAAAAAAGTTAACTGATCAATTTCAAATAGGCCTACTAGCGTGTAATCATTATATTAATACAATTTTGCCATTACGTTTAAGTCAATTGGAAAATAGAAATTCGTTTATTTTAGATCTAATTTAATCAAAATAGACCACAGAGAGAACCTCGGTTAGAGAGGATAGAGGGCCCTATGTTTCGATCGTTGCGGAAAAAAACCTCGTTCTCAAAGGCAAAATGACATGGGAACAATGACAAGCAGGGAATTTTAAGGGAACGTACAAGCACGCAAGAAGGAAAATGCACAAAGAGTTTACGGCAGCCAGTTGTCTCTGAAATGTAAGCAAAGAGGTTGACTGAAGTAGGATTTCCCACCTTCGAACACCCGAATTCCCGAACACCCGAGCTCCCGAACCCTCGTACATCAAAACTGCGCCTTTATTTTGCGAAGCGTTGTGATTATTATAAACGTTTGATTACCTGCCTGTTTTGGATTCGTTTTGAGTTAGAACTGAACAGTCCACTCCGCAAGACCGCCATTTACAATGTCTCAAACAGTCACTCTATCAACCGAAGCTTCACAAAAAAAGCATCCCAAACCACTCTGGAAACATCCTCTCAATTGTTCCCCGAATAAAAAAAAGACAAGACTTCTTGTCAGCCTTGACCAGACGGAAATAAGAAAGAGGGAAATGAACCACAAAACAAAAAATCTCTAAACCTAGTGGGGATTTGTGGTCTGCTGGACATGTCTCACGCAGAGAGCAGCCTTTTGTTGGCCGTCTTATTTGATTCACGCGATGAAGTTGGTGGCTCTTCCTCCTCAAGAACAGTGACTGGCCTCCTTTAGTCTCGTATGAGGGGAGTTTCACTGCAGGGGAGTTGGGGGAAGTGGGTCCCGATTCTGTGCGTGGGTCATCTTCCGGTCCGTATACTGGGCAAGTCTCTCCTTCCTTAAGTGATGGAGGGGACAAAGTGATCAATTAGCCCCCGGAGGAATTCCGGTGAGTTAACTTGAAGTGTGGGCGTGCTTGTCAGTTCGTTTTGGGGGAAAAACAAAGTAATGCTGCATTTGAATGCACTGTTTAGTTGACAGGTCTGACTCATCGGGCCATTTGTACTCAATGACCATTGGAGTGTTCGATTCGTTTAAAAGATCTTCAGTCATTTGGTTGAGTTGAATTGAATTCAGTGGTAACCAGAAGGTGAATTTTACAAAGTGTAAATTGAGTGTGTATTTCGAGTGCCTATAAACTAAGTCCTTCCTCCATGGTAATATACACCATTGTATTATAGAAACAAACGCAATTGCAAGTTAGACTAACCACATTTATTTCCTCCTCCAGGAGGTTACGTTTTCATCGGATTTGGTTACGGTTTGTTGGTTGGTCGGTTTGTCTGTTAACAAGATATCTCAAGAAGTTATGGACGAATTTCCATGAAAATTGTTTTAGGGGTGTTCCTTGGTACAAGTACAAATCGATTACAATTTGGAAGTAATCGGGATCTGGATTTTTTTGTAAAGGATTCTTCACCATTTATGCGAGTATTTCTTTTGGGTGTACTGACAATATGGCGGGGAATTGTTAAGCCTTGGCGGAGGTTTGCGCTCTCTGAGTGCTTTCTAGTTAAACGGCGTGGTGTATTACATTTTTGACATGAGCGTTTTTATTCTGTTTTAATGTAATAGTGAATGGAGTTTCTCGGCACCTTTTAATGAATGCACAAGCGGTTTCAAGATACAAGCGAAACCAAGTTACAGGTTTCATTGTGTGCATTTTGTTTGGTTGAGCTGCGAATTTCGTCATCGAGGTTCCCTATCCCGAGTGCTATATTTGTCCCGTGTGTGCTCTTATCGATTCTCCGTTGTCAAGCTCATTACATAACCCTGCTGCTATCGTCAGAACCCATCAGTCAGCAGCAGGAGGGGAATAGGCCTGGTCCCCGACCCACACCGTTGTTTGCTTTCCGACCCGTGGAGTGTTGATTCTTGGCCAGTTACTCCACCCAAATTCCATTAGGCTTCACCCTGAGACTGATAGCACCAATTATTAAATTGGTTCACTCAGTTAACTATTAATTTTTAGTGCGGCCATGGAAAAACTAAGTCTTGTTTCAAAAGAGCATAAGCGTCATTCTTAAGATTTTTAGAGAGTTCTCACGATTTGTTTTTTATACCATGCACAGTATCTGAACTCTAAAAGAACTCTGTCAGTTCGATTTAAAGAGTACTATTTGTATGGTTATGGTTATTTCTGTGTATTAGTAATGATTCTTTCTGTGTATTTAATCAAACTCCCTAGCATAATTTACTAGGAACCATACCCATCCTGGCAAATTCCAACACCATATGGGAAACTGCACACACATATTTCTGACTTTGATTCTGGAGGTGTGCCAACCCAATGTAAAAGACTGTCAGTTAGGGGTACTGTACCCATCCTGACAGATTCCAACAAAACATGCTGTTGGGGTTTGATGGGTTGAGTTATGTTAGGGTTAATTAATGTAGTCCGGTTATTATTAAGATGTTATTAAAATTCATAGAGGGAAACACAGTTTATATATATTGGCATAAACCAATTTAATGTCTAGTTCTGTTTCGACAAAGCCAATACTGACACGTCAACCTTTTCAGTTTCACCAAAGATACATCGGTATGATATTGAAACCGTTGTCATGTCACTAGTGCAATAGTTTACATTCATCACGTTCGAGCATGATGGATTTTTTGTTTCAATTCCCGAAATTTCAATTCTCGTGAATAACGGTCGATCGAGTTGACCCTTGCTTAGACACTTGAGGGCGCATGACTGAACTTGAAACCTATCAACATTTCCTGTTCAATGCGATTGTAACGTTGTGGCAAACACTAGAATTCCTTTTTTACAATTTCCGCACAGTTGGTTAAGGAAGAATACCATTTGAACGAAATCAGACAAATTGACTCCCGAATAAATCATTATACGAAGCAGCAGCGTACGAACACCCGGACAACAGTTACAACTGGGATAAAATTAGTGAAGCCGACTGATCGTCATTTTAGCGTGAATTTTTAAGGCTGATGGACGGGGCTATTCTAACAAGGTACCCCGTACAGCTTGTTAAACAGTCCTCTCTAACCATGTTCTAATTCCCTTCTATTATGCTGCGGTGAATGCGGTGTCTTTTGTCAGAGTTTGGAGGGTTGAAGAATATATGATTAGGAAGCCTTGTAGAGGCAACGATCATGGGATAACGGTTGTCCAGAAGAAATTTTAAAAAAAAACTTGGAGGGAATAGCTTGGGGGATAAAGATAGAGGACCGGAGTACAAGGGCCAGGCTCAGTTTGTATTAACCAAAGTTGAGCGGGTGACATGCACCGGGGCGGCTAACAATAGGAGGATGAACCTAAGCCGATTGGACGCTGCGCAGCTCACGTGACCGCGCGCTGCGACAAGTATGGTCCAGTCAGCGCACGCCTCGCTTCTCATTGCCCCCTCACGCACGCACGCTCGCACAGCGCATACGGGACCGTGGTAAAGGCGAACGGGAACAAAATGTTGAGGTACTTTAGTTGATCACTTTATACCTGGAACATACTACACACAGAGAGCTTATAGGACGCCCTTCGGGCCGGCGTAAAACCCCTGTATGTCATGAACTGGGCTTGAGGCGAATCTCATCATTAACTCTACACAGAACAGTTTTGGAAGTGAATCCACCAAAACGACAAGAGAGACAGCGTATTATACGTACACCCGAAGTCACCTTCTCTATCTGTCTTGTTTTTGATCGTGTCTTTGCAGTGCCTTGACGGCAGTGGAGCGACACGGTATCGACACGGCCTTCCCAATCCGCAGTATGAGTGGTATGGCGTACACTATACCCCCAGTGCACGGACCACCAAACATGAAGGGACCCCCATTCTCCGTCAACGGGATCAGTCTGGCAGCCCACAACGTCGAATCCCTCCATCCAGCCATGAACTACCACAGTGAGTTGAATTTTTGTGGTTTTCCTTTCAGTATTATCGCCACACGACATCAAAAAATTCCCCTTCGACGTCTTTTTTAAGCTTATAATCTGTATGGTTAAATTGTAATCTTTTATGGGTGTCAATATTGTGTATTATTGCAGTGGATAAGACGTTTATGTTGGTAACCAGTGATCCGTTTAGTCTGTGATAACAGTTGTCAAGCAGTTCGTTCCTTCTTTCAATGATGTTTCTTTATTTTTAGTTTATTTATTTTTAACACCAACAAGGTGGTTGAACACATTTTATTATTGTTAACAAGCATTATATTCTTTCCTTTTCCAATCTGATTATATGCAGCGATCTCCTCAGATTAGAGTTGGGCTGTGATTTTAACACGATTTTAAAAATCCAGTATGCATTTACTAATACTTTGCTCTATCGATTGATGTAACTTTCGTTAAGTTTTGCCATTTCACATTTCCACGGGTGTGCGAAGATTGGGATGTGAACGATTTTGTTCAAGCTGCACTAGTTTCGAAACTTTTGATGAAACCATTTACTACACCGTGGTAGGTATATAGATCTCCATCATTTTTGATTTTCCCCCATTGTCATGCGCTGGTATTTTGGGGGCACGTTTTGCAAAACAACTCTTTTATGTGTTTATCCACGGCGCAGACGTTCATGAAAAATTAATGAGTCTTCCTGATGGGGGCCGTGCGGTTGTTCAGAGATAATTTGCCATCTTCAGTCCAAGCCATCAGCCTTGTTTCGATATCGAAAAAGAAGGGGAACTAAAGCCGACTTAGCGTATCGATCGCCGAGGACCTGGCCGGATGGACGGCTAAATTTCCCCCTTCACTGATTGATGGAGTGCCCGCTCATTGTTGTCCGGTGGTGGCCCGGGCCCCCTAACGAAAATGGTCACCATTCAACTGTGGAGAGAGTTTTTTAAAAAGTGGCATGGGACAGTTTCCCTCGTATCGATTTTCCCCTGGTTTCATCGGAGGCTTTGGAAATCCGTCGAGGGGTGAATTTTAATCCTGCTGTGGTTTTGGACCCAGTTGGTCAACACTCGTACGTAACATATTGAATTTTTGGGTTTCCGATCGATGATCTTTGGTATATGCCTGAGCTCTCCCAGAACCTTTCTATAGGTTAAGAGAGACACTTGATGAAAATCCTCCATCTGTGAGCGTTCAGGATGGGGAACATCACCTCGATGGAATTCAAATATAGCCTCATTGATGTGCCCATCAGAACAAAACAAATGCAGAGAGATTTGGGGGAAAGTGGGTTTGGCCTCACCCTCTTGCTGAGGGACGGCTTCTTACGGTCGGTGTTGAGATTATTCGATTTATAAGCAGGAGTGCCCCATAAGCCGGGGATGAACTTGCCTTAAGTCGGATTAAACTGAGATTTGGAAAATACCCCGGCCCTACATGAATTAATAATCTTGTTTTCCTCGCCTGGTGCCTTGTATCGGTATGATGTACAATAGGAGCGGAACTGAAATAGCACCCGACTAGAATTTGTGTAATACATTGCAAAGTGACTCATTCAGTCATAATCTCTGTAATAATTACGTATGGAGCAATCGTCAGTGCAGATATTTTGTTTTTAATTTTAAGCAACTATTCAGGCCTTAAAAGCAAACACGATGCTTTATACAGAGTGACATGTTTTTTTTCAGAGGCCATTGTTCCTCCTCCATGGCGGAACAATGTTGCAATAATAATTGATATGGCATGTACTTGATAAATCCTCGCTGCTTTAGTTTTTGATGGTTATCGCGCCTAAATCCTTTGGGCCAACAACCGGACCAGGCCGGGCCCTATTTGCCAAATTACTCATTAACTTGGATCATTGCTCATAATAATGCAGCATCATGGCGCGGGAAACAGGCTAAGCTGTCGCTGATACAAGGAATTCGGGAAAACATGAAAATAAATAGCGTGGGTTCACTCCCACGAGCAAAAAAAAAAAAATTTAAAAAGTCACCCAATTAATTAATGAATTCTTTTCAGTTCTGAATAAGCTTTCTGACGAGCCAGAATTTAAAAAAGCGCAAAACTCATTAAATCTTTCAAAAAAATCCACATGTTCAAGATCTTTTTGTCATTAAAAGTCTCCTTGATTGCCTTTCACCAATTTTGATCACCGAGATGCGAGTTGGTCAGAAGTTAAGTTCCTGATATGTACAGTACAATGGTTGCATATTCTTAAAGAGCACATTACACTAAATAGTCAACTGTTTTCATCAATTTAGATCGTCCATTTACTATTAAATATTTTTACAATTTAGGTTTTTTTCCTTTTACGTACTTAATCTGATGGTTCAAAGTAAAAGTCAGTTTATTACCAATGGAAATATGTTCAGATCATTTGTTTCACTCCATATCAAAAGATTCCCTAATACAGGTGTTGTATCTACCGTGACGTGTCTTTATCCCTTTTCAAAATAGTAATTTTCTGATGATGACATATCAGTGGTGAGTTTGGCTGATCGGCTATGACAATGCACTCTTTCCTTACCCATTACTTTATGGCCAATTCACACCTCTCTCCGTCTATTGTCGGTAATGCCTCGTGCATCATTCCTCGCGATTCGCGGAGTACCGCCCTGTTGTTTACCGACCCGAGTTCGTCAACAATTATTTGGCTAAATTGCGGGGAGTCACTGCCCTTGTGCCCACCATAATTTCCTGGAAGACTGTGTCATCCTCCAAAGCAGCCCTCCTTTCTCGGTAGCTTACAACCCCCAGCCGTCTGGTATTGTTTCTCGAGAGGTGCGAACGTCTAAACAACACCATGAAGAGTGGCGGTGCCTTTCAGGATCACTGCTAAACAAAAACGGTTGCCGCCCGGGTACAAATCACCCATCACCGCCGGCTTCAAAGTGATGATAGACCGTGGAGAAAATGATTGTTCCTCAATCGAGGAGGAGGCAGGACCGTCAAGTTGTAAAAACCACGATGTTCAAAAGGCTCCGATGAATAAACAGCCCGTTCCTTCATTAGCACTTCTCTTTTGTTGAGTGTCGTTTGGCTGTTTTTGATGTGGACTTTATTGCTGGTTTGTAATAATTTAGTGAGTGGCTGTGTTGTGTCACGTAGTGTCTGAGTTTAGGTTGACATGCTGTTTAGAAGAGGTCATACGATTCTTACAAATTGAAGAGTGAAGACGTTCCGCTGCTTTGCTACTCGAGCTTAAGCACTTGTCATCTTGTAGAAGCAAAGACCGAAGTTTGAGTATCATTATTAGTATTGGCACTCCAGAATGTTTCAGCAACACAGCCAGTTAATAACGGAGGCCGGCATGTACTCTATGCCGAAACTGATGTTTGTTGGCGCCGTCAGGCAAGGTACGTCGACTAATAATCGATCGCTTATAGAAGAGCCTTTTGGTCGTTATCATGCAAGTTACAAAGATTTCCGTCACAAACTGGGTTTGGAGTATACTTGCCCAATGGTCGTACACGCACTTCCTACTTAGCATCTGCTTGTCATTTTACTCACAGAACCGTGTGCTATAGCATGGTCCTCTTCAGGAATGAAGTTCTGAAATAGAGACCATACCAGGTTTATGATGAATTAATAATGATGGAGTTGTAGAGACGTTTAACCAATATCGCACTGTATTGAATTGCATAGTTCACTCTAAAAGTTATATCTTAATTTAATTGATTTCTTCCAACACTTTTTCCTGTTAGGCTTGGAAGTGCGTAAACGTATACACTGTCATGTGTAACTTAAAAAAATAAATACTTTTGATGATGCAGATTTCTTCCTTGCGTCATTTGAATCTGTACAATTGTTTAACAAGACTCTGAGTGCAGTATACATTACTAAATGGTAAACTGTGTGATCTCTCGAATTGGCATCGACTCGTTATAAAAAAGACGTTGAAGCTTGGTAATGGTTATATCTCGAAAGCACGGTTTGTTTTACCGTGAGGGATGTGTAACTAGAGAATGCACTCGTGGCCATATTATATCAGCCATTCCGGATCAATATTGATTGTTGGGCGGCCGGAGATGTCAGAGCCCACCGGGCGGGTCCCGCCGAGAGGGCCCACGCCAGGCCAGTAGAAGTCGGTCACAACAAGGAGGCCACGAGGCCGCCAAAAGCGGCAAGACCCCTTTTGTTCGAAGAAGGACCTCTCATCAAGAGACCAAGAGTGTTGAGATGGAGTGGCCTTTTCTCCCCGAATACACGATAACATGAAACCCGATACCCTAGCTTTTCTGTCCCCGTCTATACCGTCAAAACACGAGTCTGATCGGCCTTCCAGGCCCGCCGAAACACGGCACCAAATTCCCAATCCCCGTGCTATATATTTCCTCGGAATTATTCCCGCAGGGGTCATTATGTTATGTTATTTGAAATAACTCCATTTTGATGTTCATTTCCTGGCGTTGTTTTTCAGACTCCTTGCATTACCATTTCCGCATCAACATTTTTTTCTTATAAACATCAACAAGCCAATGGTGTCGTAATCCTTCTTTTTTGAAGATTTTCAAAAATTAACACCATAATTTTTTTATGTGCATATATTGACCCATCAAACATCATCAGTTTATTAAGGTTTTAAGAGTTGGCATAATCCAACTTCATATTCGGATATTCGTTAACTTCGAATGCCTGTTCAGGATGTACATGTTTTCAAGAAAAGCGTTGATGCTTTTCTACCTTCGATGCCAGATTAACCTTTTGCGAATTGCCCCTGTGCCCGTAGACGTGCACGTGCTTATCGTCGGGTTGGGGTCAGTGGGGGAGATCCTTGCACTATCTCATCCTTTTTTTGGCTACTGATAAAAAACAACCTTTTTTGGGATTGTGAAGAGATCAATTTATCCTTCTCTGGTGTATTGTGTCTTTTTTCATTAGACAAACCTTAATCTGTCTGTTTATTGGTCAAGATGAAAATAGACAAGACATAACAATAATGCTCTGTCAAAATTGTACAAGTTCTAGGCTTAACAATTTTGTTGCAAGAGGTTGCTTGTGCAGAAGAAATTCACAATATTTTTGGATCACTCTCGGGCGAGTGTTTTGCGCAAATTTTTGCAGAAGGAAAATTATCGAAGATCAGTTTATGTTTTTTATGTCGTATATCAGAGTGAGATTCGTTAGTGTCAAGACATTCAACTTGATGACTCTCCCCTTTTTAATGGACATGGTTGTATTTTATTTTTGTCATCAAATTTGATGCATTAACACTTTGTCTTTATGTCTTTTTCTACTTTCCTGGTTGTTTTACAGACCCGCCGAGGAAAACCAGACGGGAGAGAACCACGTTCACCCGGGCGCAGCTGGACGTCCTGGAGACGCTCTTCAGCAAGACGCGGTACCCGGACATCTTCATGAGAGAAGAGGTTGCCTTGAAGATCAACTTACCAGAGTCAAGAGTACAGGTGAGGAAAACTAATAGTCTAATCTCTTATTACAAAGCTGGTCCATATTTCCCAGAACCGCTTAGCAAAAGTGGTAAGCGCGAATAAGCAGCGAACCAGTCACAACTTCATGCCGTCATCGCATGGGAGTTTAGCTGGTGACATTTTTTTGGTCATGCAACTATAGTGTTGGTGCTTAGGCAATTTTGGCTCCCAATCTGATTTAAAGCTCTCACTTTTAGGCTTGCATGTATTTAATTTGGTTAGACACTTTCGATTTCACGAGCACTCCCCTATACCGCCCTCTTGCGGTAACACCGTAATTTGAGCCGACGTGGTGGGAAAGAAACTTGCCGAGGCGCTGAGTATCCATGACAAATGATGACATATTAGGAAATAATTCTTGCCGCGAGATCCGCGATCTCAATGAATTCACACGCATGGCGAACTCTTCGACTGGAGAAGTCCATGAGACGTTTGGGATGCCTAATTGGCACCGAGCCCACTTCAAAGTCGCGGTGATTAATTTTTTTTTAGGTCGGCAAGATGGTGAAAATTGCTCAGGTTTGTCTGGCGGGGAAGGGACGGTTGTCGCGACCGGGAGAAATGTTATCGTTTCCCCATGACTGATCTGCGATGACTCCGGTGGGTGCTGGCGAACGCCAAATCAATTACTCGGCACTTCGGACACTTTTTTTCTCATTTTTTGCACGTCTGCTAAAAATTGATTTATTTTGGGACCGCGTTTGTTTTTTTGCTGCGCAGTCGGAAATTCGCAACTCTGCCATCCAAACTGAAACCGAGCGTTGGCAAATGGCAAAATCAAATTAAACACGCAAATGTTCAGGTTTGAAGAAATACATGTAACCAAAAAGGATGTTACTAAAAATATAGGTTTCGTGAAGTCGGCACTGCCGACAAGTGAGTAAACTTTAAATAATACCAGGCTAGAAACGAAACTATGTATTGTTGCAAAGAAAATGGAGTCAGTTAGTACTAGGTCCTGCCAAATAAGAAAACTGTGTACACTTAAATACTCGATAAGTTCCGATTATCGAGAGGATACTGTAATTGCATGTGCAGCGTTGTATTATAGGAAACAGTGGCGTTATGTCTGTGGGCTGTTCTTTCAGCTGTCCTAACTACTTTTCCGGATTACTCCGCTCTAAAAGCACTAGCTGCAGGGGTGAAGCGATGGGGGTCGAACCGGGTGTCTGTAATCCCGACTTTGTTTTGTGTTTGTACAATTTTAAAATAAAGACTGAAAGGTATTCTGTATAGTACAGGATAGAAAGGTGGTACCAGACTAACCTATACAGATGTATAAAAGTTCATTCGGTGCAGTGTTCTGATGCTTGCAATTCCTCACCTTTATAAAAAAAAAAGTATCGGTCGTGTGTAACATGTGAGAAAATTCATCAATTGTGTTACAGGGGGGCTGGCTCTGTATAAGGCCCGGGGTTGGTTTGGCAAGTAGTTCAATACCCCCAATCACACTGATGAATGGTGGAGGTGCAAAGGCTTGCCTGGGGGCCTGACTGGGCTTTGAATGGCCCGAACAGACCTAATTAGCTCTACCCTGTAATAAATAAAAAATGGGGAGGCTTTTTTTTATCATGCCTGGCGCGCAGAATGCATGGTTTGTGGTATGATAATAGGCGAGCAGGTTTTTTTTTTGCCTTGTTGCATGTATTGGTGGGTTTGTACTTAATGACCCCCTCTCTGTTCCGTGGAAGGTCCCTTCACCCCTCTGTTACTTGAGCAGCAGTGTGTCCATGCCACCCCCCCCCCCCCGAAAAAAGAGTACATGTATTAAACATTAGTCTGATTCCAAATCCTTCTCAGTCATGAGTGAGGAATTCAAACAGTGGCAACACAGCAGTAGTAAAGAGTCCAATTATAGTGACTGTGTAATATGTGTCTGCTTTAAACTTACAACAGGGCTTACTATTGGCCATAGAATTAGAAGACCTAGCCTTCAACGCCATGCTTAGGCCAAGTAGACGGTGAACTGGCCACAATGAAGTTCCCGCTTAGAAGTTCATAATGAAGTTTTTGAACTGATTTAGTTCTCTTCGTTCCATTGTGGATCAAAATTTTCCAGAAGATGTTAACGAAATTGAGCTTTAAAAGTTTTGAAGATTCGGAGCCCGCACGTAAAAGAAAGCGTGTTGTACTGTTCACGTACCGCTAAAATTAGCCGTCGCACACTCCTGTCCCTTCGCGTATGACCCGCTACAAGTGCCAGTGACTGCCCCTTTGAGCCAAGATTTCTGCCATATTTCGTGCCTCCCATTTTCCCCCGTTTTGATAGATCGGCTGCAAAATAATTTGACGGCGTTTGTGTTTCCGTGCCGCCGGTGTTTACCCACCGATGGCCGCATTCACTCCCGCCTGCGTCCGAGTTTTTTTTCTGTGTGTGTGTCGGTGTCTGTGGTTCTCAGTTGTGGCCGGTTTTTGATCGGGTGTTGGGCGGTCAGAAACAATGGCATTCCGGTCTCGTTGGTTTGTTGGTCAGGCTATTCCGTAGCGTGCGGTATAAAATTTCATATCGGCACAATGACCACTTTTTTTTACAAGTTATTTTACTATCCGATACCTTGTTGCTTTTGTTGTTTGAAGTAGCTGTAACAATTGGGAAATTATTACTTTCTAAGCCCGCAATTTTGTTTCTTACCACTTGTATACAAGAAAGAATGGGCTATAAATTACAATCCGTGTCCACCTGACCATGATCGCATTGGATATTATACGGAGGTTTATTCAAGTTTGCTAAGAGAACACGTGACAAGCAGCAAAACGTGGTAGTGGTTGGGTTTGTGGTTGGTTTGATGTATATACCAATTATTGAAGTAAAATCTGGTGGTGACCACAACTGATTGGTTTGTGCACAAAACTTGCGTTTTTTGGGTAATCATCAGTTCCACTTGATCAAAACCAGCAAAATGTGAACATAAAAAAAACAACGTTAGAACTGTCTTCCTCGCACCACGCCTCACATTCATTACACCTCCCTGCCATTTGCCAGGTGTCATTTTTTTTAACCCAAGAGATGAGTCAGACAATGACACTCTTGGGAGGACTTTCAACATCTGTCCCCCTCTTACAGCAACCACTTGGCCCTGGAGAGGCCCCCTCTTGATGGTCCACAGCCCATTAAGCCTCTCCAGAAGTCAGTTTTCTCCCCTGGCTTCGAACAAAGAAACGGTCCAACACACTTGAAGGGTGCCTCCTGGTTCCCTTATTATATACAACGTGCACTTGTTGCTTTCTCTTCTTTCGTCTACTCGAAGCCGGCATTTCGAGGACGGACATGAAGTGGAGAGAATCTTCTGCACGGCTCGTTCTAATTAACGAGACTCCTTTTCAACCTAACCCACCGTTCCCATTGGTATATACAACTGCGTTTTCCCTTCAGTTTTTACACTATCTGTACTAATTAAGAAACAGTGAAATCACTGCTTGTTTTCGTTTTATAATCCATAAAAATACTATATCAGAACGAAGCCCTGATTGTTGGGCCTGCCATCTTGAAAGAGGAAGTCGTTTGTCTTTCACCCAACCTGTTTCTATGACTCTTCCTCCTACACATGTACATTGGATCCATGTCGGATAGATTCTGTGAAATGAAGATGCAACTTGATAGCGATTGATTTCCGAGACGATTGAAGTCTCGAGTCGTAAACGCGATTCACTGTAACTAGTTGCTCTTTTGTGTGTGTGTCAAAGCTATCTGTTAAAGAATGGCTCACATTAATTCCGAAAACTTGGCTTCTGCAATATTCTTATAATGAAACAATAAAATATGCTTAAAAACCGTTTCACAACCGATGTTGATTGAGCATCGTGCCGAAATCCATCTGAGTATTGCAGTTTACACGGGGATTTCCGCATTCGATCAAAACTGCAGTGCCTTTCCTGATACTGGGTCTCACGACTCATTATCGTGTGCTTAGAAGTGAACGTTCACATTAGTGCCAATAGTAACGGCACAGCCTTGGGGCGTAAATACATGTATTCAAATTATGTCCTGGAAATGAATCTTTGCACATTGTTTTGTTTGAAAGTCATAATGAAATGATGGAAAATGACATATTATTAACGGAGATTCTTCAGAAAAGGACTTGTGCTTTCAATTGTATTTCATTCGTGTAGGTAGCCCCGTTGGAATTCTACCGCGCAATAATGAGCCCACTCGACAATTACTGTCAAACGGTCCTCCTATTTGCGGCTTTTGAGGCAGCAATTCAAGGAAATCGGGAAGGCTGACCAAGATCTCATTTCTCAGTCTGTCGAAGATGTTTATCTGAAGTGGCCGTCACTTGTAACTATCTATAACCGAGACGACCAAACAATGATATTGGTCATCAACCTATTATGGTTGAAAGTGTGGTACTATAGGGTCCAGTATATACACCAGCGTGTTCCAGGGAGTAATGCCCGCCGTTTGTTGGCTCTTTTGATCCCTCGGTTGCCCCTATCGCCATCACGTCGCCACTGCAATGTTTGTCCGTACACATTAGGCGTCGACGCTATGTCAGGAGGCGGTGTCGTCTCTCTGTGATCAGGTGTTCAAATTCTGGTTGTAAATGCGCGGGCGAAGTGCCAACAACCCTGTTTTTTTTCTCAAGTGGTTCAAGAGTCGGGTTGGTTGCATAATTGAACAGTTTTTTTCTTCATCAGTGGTTGGTAGAGTGGGGAGCTTTTGAATTGGCGATTGAACAATCGGTATTTGCATCATGCACACATGAACGCTCTGAGAAGCCATGGTACATCTTGCCATGTTGCAAAGGGTAGGGCCTATGCGTCTTTGCGAACTCTGTCAATTACAAATACGTCTGAGTGCAGTATTTCTGGTTGAGATTTGTAGCTTCATATTTCCATATGGTAGGCTAACTGCACATTGCCCTTTGAACTGTGACTATTGGCTTCTTGACCACACTGCGTGTTTAATTTTGCCTTGTACATGTACCTGTATCAACAAGGCAACCATTAGCAGGCCGGTTACGTAACGGTGGTTCAGATGCGCGGATATCGATTGGGCAAATTGACCCAGTCAAGTGCCAATGTCAGCATTTTGGGTGTCAGTCACTTCTTAATGGATCTGTGGTACTATTGTCTTGGCTCTTAATGTTTGGTCGGTTGCCAAAGCTTGAACAAGTTTGTTCCATCTTTAGCCGTCATCTACGCTCCAAAATCCTTGAACAGTTATCAAATTTTGGGAGGTCAATATGATACTTGCTGCTCACTCCAGCGCAGCAGTACCAAGCCAAACGATATGTCTGAGAAAGTAAACAATGGGAAGCGAATTAGGAAGAGGCACCTAGGAGCATTTACAAGTACCCAGAAACATAACTACATGGTTTACGAGAATATCAATGCTCAAAGTGAAGTTAGGGCAGTTACTATATAAATGCCCTGTGAAATTATTCCACCTGAAATGGTTTCATTCGAAATAAAACAATAATTGAGGATGGTTTAGGCAAACATGCCGGCGGCAGTGTTTACGTGCATTAGCAACGGAATCTAGTTTCGAGACCCCAACAATTCTGCTTACGTTTTCTCTGTTTTCTCAAAACTTATGGTTTCCACTGAGCTGAAACAAGTGAGTTGTTACGCATCCTTCTTAATATTTTGAGCAATTCTGTTCCTTCAAAAGAAAAAAATGCACAAAGATTGAATTTCTCTTATTTACCTTTAAAAAAAGGGGAATGCGTAAGGGCAATTTACAAACCAAGCATTTCCCGCTTCATTAACAGCGGTCCTGGCGGAAAATTTCAAACTGTGTCGGTTGCAACCATGGCTAGAGAACCAGGAGTTCATATGAAATTTACAAATCAGTGTGGATCGATTCGACTGTGCCCGATCGCTCGTAAGCCGGTTCTCGCCAGAAACTAGCGGCGTCGCCGATTCTCGTTTCTGCACCATTACCATTCAATTTCCTTTTTCTCCCGCAACCGTCGAGTGGAGAATCAATATGCGCGAATATGCAGCAGTAACTTACACAGTAGTGCGTAAGTTCCTCGCCTTGTATCCTTAATAAAATATGTTTTAATTTCTTGTCAGATTAATTGAACCATCACGAAAAGATGAAAACATTTCACCAGACTTGCAATTTCTCTTTTGGCTTTTGTTTTCTCTTACTGTGTTAAACGATACTGACACGGCAGTCAGTAGTCAGAATCGATTATTCGTCAGTGCATTGATGTGTACAGGCCACAATGCTACATGGTTTCTGGCCTACATTGTGCTTTCATTTGCAGTTTCTTTGTTACAGTCTGGTGAATCATAAGCTCATTTTCTTTCTTTCTTTTCGTGGCAGGTGTGGTTTAAGAACAGAAGAGCAAAGTGTCGCCAGCAGGCGCAGCAACAACAGAACGGCACACCCTCTAAGCCACGCCCAGTCAAGAAGAAGTCCCCCTCCCGAGACACGCCCCCAAGCAGTGACTCCTCCCCCTCCTACAAGTCGCTGCCCATCACCTCCATGCCCAACAACAACAGTATCTGGAGCCCCGCCTCCATCCCGCCCCCGCCGCCCATGGGTGACTCCATCTCGTCCAATAACAGCTGTATGCAGCACCAGTACTCCATGGCCAACGCCCACCAGGGGGCCTACGCCCAGAGCTACCAGTCTGCCCCCTACTTCGGCAACCCCATGGACTACCTCTCGGGGGTGCCGCAGTTCCCTTCGGGGGGCACCCTGAGTCAGATGACATCGTCCATGAACAGCCCGCACATGAGCACAGCACCGTCACAGCTCACGCCCACACACCCTAGCATGGGCGGGTCCATGCCCAGCGCCAGTGCAGACTGTTTAGAAACCAAGGACCCATCGTGGAAGTTCCAAGTCCTGTAGCTACCAATGCGCTTGACATTTGCCTAGACGAAAGAGAAAAAGAAAGCAGAGGTGAAACCCATATCATCAATATACATCGGTTTCGACAATGAGTCCGTTGCCATTTTTGGTAGGACAGGCGCTCCATACGTTCTCTTCGCATAATGTGGTCCAATCAACGACGACCGTGTCGAAGCTTGTGGAGAGCGCCCTCACGAACGGATAGTGAAAAAACGAGTGACTCTGACACGTGCTCGTTTGACTTGTACTCGGGTTACTTTTGATGAGTCCTCTGGCTGACAAATGGACAACTGAACAGAATTTCTCAAAAAAAATTCAACTCGCACTGAGGGTTAAGAAGGACCACAAGTGCAGGTGATGATACAGAAATAATGTCCGTGTTACGTTGCAGTTCATTTTTTTAGGGTAAATAAAACCTAAAAATGGGTTAAAACAATACAAAATTAAGGAACTTAGGAGTTTTGTAGCTCCAAGAAGAATCTCAATAATACCTTGTACGACTTGAAAAAAATATCTTGTTGACAATCGCCGAAATGACAGGCCTACTTTTTTAGGAGTAAATATTAATTTTTTTCTCCAAATTTTCCTACTTTAAATTAATATTTCATCTTGAATTTAATCCTTTCCCCTTATTTCCCATTTTGTAATTCCTATTCTTTGAACTGACAAAGGTGGCTGTGAACGATCAAATTATGTAAATTATTTTGGACTTTATTCGGTATACTGTCTTGCAGAAGAGCAACAATAAATTTCCGAACAAATTAAGCAAACAAAAAGGGAAGAAGAAGACTTATTTAAGGGGAATTTTGTAAAAACAATACTCGCATCCCTAGACTGGATGTGAACAAAATGGAAGTGATTACCAAAGGCTGAAACGAATTCGGATAGACTACAGGGTACTTTGTTTTGTAAGATAGGCAACTTGATATCAAAAATTTAAATGTTTTATAAAAACAAAATGCAATTATTTGTATAAATTTCAGATGCATCACTGTCACTCCATGCAGGGTATATTATAATGATGATTATTATTTTGTACATGTTTATTGCACCGGCTGCACTTGGCGGAGGCCAATGGGGGTGTTCGGTTAGTGTTGACCCACGCTCTCTTTTGCCATGTTCTGCTCATCTTCTGAACAATAATCCCGGAGTCACCTTCTTGAAGGAACTCGGCAGAAACCTCCTCTCGCTATATTCAAGCTCCGGAAACCTGCCAAATTTTCGAATGACCCGTTGAGAGTTGTTAAACAAGCTGTCTGATTTTCTTGGCTTTTAAGTTTCTAAATATTGAATCGCCCGGCTTGACTTTCTGCCAGTTTTCATGCAAGAAAATTGACTCCGTTCTTATTTTTCATTCGTAGTTTTTTAGCTTCTTATAATACCGTGTGTGTTGTGCTCAATTCCGTAGGTGTCTCGATAGATTAAAACAAAATAACTAACAACTTTTGAAATACGAATCGCGCTAACCCAAGCGATTCTTTCTTTGATTATTTATGATTTTTTTGGCTCTTTTTATGTAAATACTTAAATATTATCGGAACATTGTGGATAGCTGAAATCACGGATGAACTCAAAGATAGGTGAATCTGTATTCGTAAAAGAAAAATTGTACACTTCGATTAGGTTGTAAAAAGAAGAGGTTCCGATAGACTTGGGATCGTTGTTTTGTAAATTGTTCGAGAATATTTTAGGAAATACAGGGTTAAGGAATTACAGTGTATAGAAAAACGAATGTCATTTCCTTCGTTTATTTTGTGGAGAATATTAGGGATGATTATGGTAATAGTTCCAAAGTTGTATTTCTTTCTTGTCGCAATTTCACAATCGTTCTTTCCTTTCAAAATGTCACGTTGAATGTTGATTTATACATTGTAGTAGTAACCTTGAAGCGCACCTTATCAGTAAAGGGGGGTGTCCTTGATATTTTATTTATTAAAGTTTCACGAATTTTTGTTATTATGCGTCGCACTGTAACTTAAACCAACAAATCTCAAATGAGGTAGTTTTTACCGACTTTAATTGTCAATTTGTTTTGTATTACATGTCAAGAGTCAAACAGGGAACACAGGGTAACACAAACAACAGCAAATTTGTCTTTATTTACATTTGGCGGTTTTCGAAACATTTTTTTCACCATATTTTACCGATTCCCCAATTAGTCGGGGGAAACACATGGAGGTTAGCGAAGAACAGTTTTATTTATGGCACTTGAAACTAAGCATGCTTGCTTTCTGGAGTAATTTATCAAAAACTAAAACGTGGAAATTATTACCTGTGTAGGTTGATTTTTTAATGATACACCGTGAAAAAAAGGTCACCGCGGTTCTTTTACTTTTCAGAGGGAAACAAGAGTGATTATCTTTCAATAGACAATGCGTGGGTATACGCTTGATGGTAATATCGAATTAAAAGATCAGAAAAAATATGTCAATTGTAATTTGTTTCTTGCGATGTTCTGGTCTTGTTGTCCCTCTAGCATTCCAGTTATTCTGGACAGGCATTAAACAATGTTGCTTCTTTGTATCACTGAAAAAATTGCCTGGGTTAATTTTACCAAAGAAAGGGTGAAAACTGGAACTACCCAAACTTGGGTTGTTCTATAACCAATTGTTTGGGTTAGAATTTCTGCTAAATTCAACCAAAACTTGGCGGTCATTCAAGACCAAATTTAATTTAGTCTTGTATGATTACATGTACATCTTTTGGTTGAATTTAACATAAATTGTAACCAAAACAATTGGTTATAGAACAACCCAAGTTTGGGTAGTTCCAGTTTTCACCCTTTCTTTGGTAAAATTAACCGAGGCATTTAGTACATGTATTCAGATAAAAACTTTATTACCGCGTTCAGCCAAAATCATCTCCCAATTTTCCACGTCAATCGAGTATCGACCCATTTAGTATTTTGCTGTTGTACGTGTATCTGGTTTTGTTATAGTTTGGTGAAAGACGAGTACTGCATTAGATATAGATTTTGGAGCAATTAAGCAATTGAAGAACGCAATTCGTAATAAAAAAGTAAATGCCAAAAGGTGGCCCGTGTCCATGCGCCACTCTCCAAATTAGGGGGACATTTTGAAATTGTTTTAAGATATTTCTAAACTACAAGATCTTGAAGGTATATGGTGAAAACGGCGTTGAAAATAGGGCATGATTTAAGAAATGGCGGTCATTTCACGTAAAATGGTCAAAAACTGCAGTTTGTCCAGTGCTATTGTTTCGACTATGTCTCATAGACTTGCATATGTGGACAAAAGTAACCGAAAATGCTAACATAATACCCAACTGGCCTAGTGTACCACTGTTACGTCTGTATACACACAGAAAGAGATGCAAAATGTTGCCTCACAAAAATAATGTTCTTCTAAGCCTTTGATTGTACCAAAGATTCGTATCGAATTTTGCCATCCTTTTAACCTCTGTCAGTGTGTGAAGCTCCGAGACCAGCATTTTTACTTGACCACTACTCTTTTTTTCATTTGACAATTCCAACGAAAAAGTCTACTTGAAAGGAAACGGTGTCACATGCAAATTGGCTGAATAACTTGAATGACGGTTTGATGTTTTGTTGAACGGTAACCAGAGTGACACGATTCATTTCTACGAAAGGCGTTTACGCCCGCTGCTCCGGTTGAAAAGCAACAGTAACAACAAAAGAAGCTTGAAGACCGGTGGTTTGTCGTCATCTACCGGCACAGCCATGCTCTCGATTCAGTGAGTCCGAAAGACCAACCTGGCTCCTCGAAGTCTTTGGTGGCGGGGCCCACGCGTCGATGGCCCCGCGCTGAAGGAGTCTTTGTTCCCGCTGTGGTCGTTTTTTCCCCCCAATCGATCGGTGGAGATAGCTTTAGTTCCTTTGAGCGTGATGATGACAAAAAAGGAGAGAGATCTTCTTTTCAAGCCTATCATAAAAGGTACGGTTTTGGGCCCAGGCCTTGTCTCATATTCCGGGCAGCAATTTACTTTCTGCTTGGTTTAGCAAAGATCACTGACATCTATAATGGGATCGTGGAGGGCATACAGGCCCATGCACGTAAAGTCTATTTATAAACCTAAGATTTCTGATTTTGTGAAAGCCCGTTGGGGGTATTCAAACAAGAAAAAAAAGGAAAGAATATAAGTTAATTTCCCGGTAATAGATACTTGGATTTTAAAAAAATCATGCATGTTACGTTGGTTGTTCGAGGCGTACTAAATAAGAAAAAAGACAAAGGCTTTTTAGAGTGAATATTTTCTGAGAATAAATTGCATAAATCATCGTAGATTGGATTCAGAATCCGGGTTCTATTTGGCCTAACAATTTGATATTTTTCTGTGTCAAAATGACACTTGTGCCGAGGTTTGCGGGTCAAAAACACGTGGAAAATGTTCCAGAGAAGAGACGTTTTGACCCATGAAAGTGTTTTGACCCCGGAAAGTGTCAGTTTTTTGTTAACCCTGTAAAGTATTGGGCCAAACAGTGCAAGGATTCCAGGCCAATCTAACCAGGTACAGTCGAACCCTGATAAGAAGAGCACTGTTAATACAAGGTACTGCTTATAACAAGCAAAATTATAGGTTCCAAGTCTTTGTTTTTCTTGATTTCCTTTGTTTCCCGTTACTGTTAATACAAGGTACCTGTTATAACAAGGTAATTTGTTAAGTCCCAAGGACCTTGTTATAAAGGTGCTTGACTGTACTTTTTAGAGTGTCGATTTATATAGGACAATTCGTTCACGTTGCCTGCACATACTATGGGTACAAAAGGTTTGGGCCACCATTTGCAGCCAAAATGGTAGTTTATAAATGTATTTTTTTTTAAAGACAGTATAAAATTCAAGTTGTCTTTAATATTATATAAGGGCTTCGATATCGTACAGTCGAAGTGATTATCGTGTTTCAGGTATTCCTCATTGTTTGCATTCATTCCAGATGTAGGTACTGCAAACGGCAATCGGAAATGGATTCCAGCTCACGTGTGGAGGACGCTCGAGTAGTTCCCTGACGATTTGGGTGAGAAGCATTCTCGTTCATAGTAAAGGTGCAGATCTTTAAATTGCCTACGCGAGCCAAATCACAATTTATATGCCCTCAAATTCTCAGGAATTAGAGCATTATGAGGGCCCTGAACTTGCGCATTTTTTTTTAAAAGGGTGAAAGCCATGGGCGTCGCGGGGGGGGGGGGGGGGGGGAGGGGGCCTGGAAAGGGATAAAGAAAACAAAGATGAAAAAAAAAAGGGCGCGAATTCGTATTGCTGTAAATGTAATTGGTTGGGGGGGGGGCAAAATGTCCCTGCCCCCTATAAAAATGATAAATCGAGAATATGTTGGGAAATACAGGAATTTTTCGGGGAAAATGTTTTGCCCCCCTCTAGAAAAAATCCTAGCGACGCCCATGGTAAAAGCCGTGCAGAGGACTGCGAGCTCATATTTCTGTGAAATTTGGATGAAATTAGGCCCTAAAATGGCTATATTTTGCGATGGAGCGTAGGCGTCCATTTTCAAAATGGCGATGGGCTTCGGAACTGCTTTTAGGGGTGATTATCTTTGGATGGAATTTTCTCCTAAAAGTCATGAGTTATCCCCCACAAAATGAACACAAAATGAAAGATGATGAAATAAGCTTTAATTTGATGGGTCTCTCAAACACCTTGGAGAGTTGTGAGTATTTTTGATATTTTTTTGAAGTACGCGTAATTACCATTGGGGTATATGGCAGTCGAATTGCAGGCCTGCACCCTGTTCAGCGGAGGAAGGGGAATGGTTGTGGGGGGGGGGGGGGGAGGGGTATACTGACCCCATCTAAAATATTTGTGGGAATGTACCCCTGCTCAATGTTCAAAGAAAATACTTGAAGAGAGTTCAAGGAGAGTATACAAGAAATTTCTTAAAATAAAGTCAACTGATTGGAAATCAGGACGCCATGCTTGTAATACAAATTCCCCTCCTCCGTTGAAAAAAAATTGAATTGATTTCATTGTAAAACATTTACATGTACATGAATAACCAAGTCACTCTTGATCACAGCTGCGCGCAATCTTGCGCCTTAATGACAGGTGACTTCAAGGATCTTGCAATGTTTATTTCACACAATGAAAACCGCGACACTGGTGGCGCCCTACACATTATACGGTCTTTGATCCAAGCCTGTTAATATTGTTTGTATTAATGAATGAAGATACCCTGAAGTATTTTGAACTGTCGCTCAATTGAACCTGGTGTGAAAACGCTGTCCCTTTTCATTGATATTCGCCGTAAAAATTGTATATGCACGAATGAGAAAGATGTGAAATTGGACAGGAAAACAGTTGATATTGTCCTGCTCCAATTAATATTTAAATTTTTAAATCGTATTAAAAAGTTGTCATTTGTCCTTTTCATTGTCATTTACTATGAATGTAGGATGAGAACGCACTATTGCTTGCGTTGTCAGTATATTATTCACAAAGTAACGTAGATCCATAAGTCCTTCAACGGCTGAAGGCAGCGGTTTTCAACCTGGGTTATTATTTTTTGAGACATCGGACGCCCCCTCCCCTCCCCCTAATTAGAACGGGACATTTCTGTGGATGATGAAGTTTTTGATTTGATACCATCAGATATTCGACACAGAAACAGATGGATGTAAACCTGGCAATATACACTTTACCACAGGGTAACAATTTTAATAGAGTATTCAAAAAACGATCAACACCGAGAACCTTTTTCCAAAACCAGAGGCAGGTCAGCCAACTTGTTCAATTTATCCGGGTATGTTTCCGATTCGATACCACTCATATTTAACTTTTGAATGTTCAAGAAATCATCAGCCATCGATAATTATGACGCACTTATTATCGACGTCGTGACGATTATAGCAATCAGGAGGAGAACAAACATCCCTGCCGCAATGCCTTGTCGAGTGTTCGGGTCCGAGCAACACGAAACGGTAGAGTGGCCTGTTGCCGTGACGAATTTTGCTGCACTAACTCGAAGCGGGCACGACTCCGTCCCTTGCTCGGGAGATCGGTGGTATTCAAGGCGTGGCGTTGCAGCAGCGTACGGCGAGGTCGAACCAACCCGTCTCGGTAGCTGTGCGTCGGCATGCGGGGATGTCCTCCTACCAGCGTGCGCGTCCGTTGTCCTGCCCGGGTCAGAGACGATGATGCAGGCGACGAAGCGGCCGTTGACGTGGTCGATGGCCCTCACGTCATCGGCGCGTATGCCCCTTGGCACCCAGCAACTCGGTCCTCCATGCCCGATGGGTTGATAACCCTTGTTTCGTGTCCGTCTGAAAGTGTGACTCGCCAGCAAGGAGGTGCTATCCTTACGACGAAAATGTTGAACTGGGAATTGGTCCTCCTCCAGTAGCAAACGAGACCTGCAGGATTAAAAAAAATTATCATAGTACAGTCACTCGAGTAAGTGCAAAAGCTTCCAATTCAAGTTTATAAATCTCTGTTCCAAGAAGAAACAGTCATATTTTTAACAAATCTTCACCGACAGGTCTTTAGTAAATCAGTCTCGCGATGATTCATTGGATCGATCCTTATTCAAATGTTCAGTTGCGTCAATCATTATTGACTGAAATCATAAAGCTGCTGACGAGGATATCAATGATGACAATAAAAATTGGTAGTCATAATTTAAACATAAATGCCTTACTTTTTTTAACAGTCCGTATTGCCTAACTTAGGCCTAGTTCCATTCAGTTTCACCACAACCATTGTCTCGGCCTTGCTCAGTGTTTTAACCCAGAACATCTTTCAGAAAATTGTAGCAGAAGTTACAATAATTATTTCGTCTTAGAATTCCAAACTATCTACATGAACATCTACATTATACGCTGGTACTCAACAGTATCAGCATTACCGCTGTAGTCTTCAATTGGAAGAAGAACAATGTCCACTTCTGGATGTTAACGCCGAGGTGAATGCGTTTATAACTATAAACTTAATATAGGCCTAGTTCATAACTATAAACTGTGCTGAATACTTTCTTTTGAGTTTGAACATTCAGTTATTTAGTTTGAGTTTGACTTTTCGGTTATTAATTACACAGAAACCTAACAAAAGACGTCAGTATAACCTCGATTTTCTGTTCCATTGGACAGTTTCTCGCTTGTACACTTGGATGAATTGCGCCCTCTTGCGAAGCCTTCTCCTCTCCGCTTCGTCCGCGAACGGCGAGGGCGCCGTACCAGTTCTCACGGCTTTCCCGCGGTGGCGCTCTTCGTGCACTCGGGAGTACTCGCATTTCTCGTGACAACGAGGACAGACGATGATGGCAATGTGTTGAGGCAGGATTGATACTGAAAAGTTGCTGGAGTCCGGCAGGAGAGATAGGAGACATTCCTTGCAGAACTGATGTCCACAGCGGAGCGTTTGAGCCTCAAAGACTGAGGCTGACTGGCATATCCTACACCCGTGCATCAAGCGCCCAATCATCCCAACTTCAGCACTAAGAGCTTTAAGAGGGTTATGGACACACGGATCCGTCCAAACACAGACATATCGGTCTTCTTAAGTTTGATGTCCGGTCAATGCATTGATCTCCATTTTCCAATGGATATCGATATACTAAAAATGTCATAAACTTGATGAGGCATGTGACACACAAAATTTGACAATGTTCGTTGCGTCATTGTGGAATCAAACGCCAGCGTCGCGCTCAGAGAGAAAAAGCGCGCAAAGTATGACGCATGCAAAGACAAAAGATTTTATCCTAAAAGGGAAGTTTATGATTTCTATTTGAAACATCACCCATTTAATTCGGTCAAATGGATATTTGACCGAATATATATAAAACGTGTGTTTTGTCTCAAGGACACATTGATCTTCAATTCGCAACCAGTCCCCCGCAGTCGTCATTCCGATTTTATTTCCGCGGAGAGGGGGGGGGGGGGACGGGGGCCAGGTAATGTAATCAAACCAAATGAGGACTGTTTTTAGATCGATGGTATATTCATCTCCTTCCCTCCATGGCAGGCACGGTTCTAGAGCCTATATTTTAGGGGGGGGGGGCTAGCAGGGGTGGATCCAGATTTTTTTTCAGGGGGGGGGGGGGGCTCGTACCATGTTTTCAATGGGGAGCGCTGTTCAAATCCTACAATCATGCACACTAATTGTGTACAATGCCCCCTTCTCACGACTGATTTTTAGGGGGAAATCGTTCGCATGTGACGTCGCCTAACATTTGCTACTGCCATTTTTTTACAGAATGTTTTTGGGGAACTAGACAAATTTGGGAGGCTAAAGCCCCCTAGCCCCCCCCCCCCAAGGCCCCCCCCCCCCACCCCGTAGAACCGCGCCTGCTCCATGGATCAATGTGAAAAGGGCTTAATAAAGAGAGATATGATAAGGGGAGAAAGAGCAGCGTCCCCTAGCGTCAAATGAGGTCCACCCCGGCTGTTCAAATTTGCAACGGCCGGCTTGCCGGTTCTCCCACCCAGGGCCCATCCGGACGGTCGGCTCTGATTCGCCCTTTTTTCAATCGCAAAATAATGTATCTTTCGGAAACGTTGCTCCATACGCATTTGTCTTAATGCACTGTTGGCTCTAACCCACATTATTAAAATCGCGCTTGCTTTGCGTGCGTTATAATAATTAGGCGACGCAAGTTTGACTCAGCAACATTTTGCTCATAATTTGCTGTGTCAAATGTAGACTGTAAAGTAAATTTTCAAAATGTTATTAATGAATATTAAACATTAGACATATGTGGATTCCGTGCCATCCAGAGCTTCGAAATAATGGTCAGTAAACAACCAACAATATCGATCTAATTTTGATGAATGTTACCTTAAGTTCGACCAACTTTAGTAGATACTAGATACACACATACTGTACTGGGGAGCCTCCACACAGGCTATATCAAATATGAGGGGAAATGAAAAAAATGTGCAAAAAAGGAACTTAATACAATATGGCAGTCTTCCGAAGACATTGCTTTCACTCTGCACTTCGCATGGAAACTGATTGCGTTAACACTTTTGAAATTGGAGCGGGAACTCCTAATTCATGACTTGAAACTTAATTAATTTGTCGTGTATAATAGTTGGCCGGTTTTTTTTAAACAGTGTCTCATTGGAAGGCTGTTATGACGTAGCAACGAAATCTGTTCTAAGAAGTGTGTATATAATTACGAGCAGTGCCTCGAACATTGTGCAACTGTTCTCGTGTCGTCCAGCAAAACAAAGTCACTTAAAGTTTACTTTCCGTCCCTATAAAAAAGGAGCTTGTAGTTATTGGTGCAGACCTATGGGCGACAATTATTGCTTTCGCCTGCAAAATCACGATTTGTAATTTTTTTTCTGTAGAGAGTTTTGTGGCCCTTGCAATTGATGATTGGTGGAAATAAACAGTCCCAGCTCTGAACCGGATTTAGAACTTGTATGTCAATTCAGTTTGGGATGAAATTAAAGCAAAAAGTTGCTCTATTTTGCAATAGAATGGAGGGGTTATTTTATATTCAAAATGGCGATAGAATTCATCAGGACTGCTTTCAGGGATGTTCATCTTTGGATGGAAAAATCATCGGTTAAACTCCCTCCCCCAAACTTGAACACAAAAGTGAAAGAGGGTAGGCCTAAGTCAAGCTTGAATTTGATGTATTTCTTGATCATCTGTTTTGAGTGTTTCTCCATATTTTATAAATTCTCAGTTTTATCATGGTAACTATATGGACATTTGTTTACTAGGCTGCATCCTTGAATCGTTAGCACCTTCCCCGTCAGTTGTTTGGGAAAACAACAACACACACAATCCTTGTAAATTTAGATGCTACATTTCACTGAAAGCATATACTTAATTGAGTATTGTATAGATCTTAGCATCATATTGTCACATTATTCAGGACAACATTTTAACACCCACCTGCGAAATTGCCATGCATTGTTCTGTTGGTTTAATGGTCTTGTGGTTCAACAGTTCCTTTGTTAGACTTGATCAAGTTAGGGGAAACTCTTTTGTTGTCATGTGATTGGCACGTGACGTCTGACTAATCCAGTCATGTGCCACAAAGTAGCATTGTTTTCCTGCTAACTCAATTTCATCATGCGGTCACCAGAACGCCAAGAAGACAACAGGCAGAGAATGATGTTTTAATAGAAGCTTGACATTAGCCTTTTCTTCTTTTAGTCTTGAGGGGATCCTATGTGAATCTTATGGTGATTGAGAGTTGTGGTTAAGATGAAATAAAAAGCCAATTGACTGTTCGGTTGCAAAACTTTTTGTGATGCAGTCCATAAAGAGCTAGCTTAAAATGCGCTGCATTAAACTCCTGAATAAAGGCTGAAAGCTGTAATAGTGTATAACTGTAATAACCTTAATGGCAAAACAATTATTGTTTAAAGTAGGACAGTTTGGCTTTTATTCCATGCATTCGAGGGATATATACTGCAGGCTTTTGTCAACAGATTGAACAAGTGAAATTACTTAATGTTACTTCAACATTAATTGTTCATTTCGAATGCTATGTAGGCCCTTACCAAATGTGCAATCCCGTGTTTAAGAAAATGATATAATATAATTTGAAATGTTGAGGGATGTGTCCTGTGTGAGGGGACTGGGTGGTGGCCGGATACCTTTGAAATTATTTTGGTGTGTTTGTTGGGTTTATAAGCGGTTTTTTTTGGTTTGTTTTAAATGTTATTATAATGATACAGGATAGTAACTGCACCCAAATTTTCTTTGCAAGACGTGACACACACGTTTTCCTAGTACATGTATAAAATATGCCCGCAAAAGTAATTTCAGTTGCTGCCGAATTGCGTCCATAAAAACTCCCAAACTTACTTCCCGGGCATTGGAAAATTGAGAAAAAAAGTTGGAGCGGGGTATAGGCCTATATATAGCGTATCCGGGTTTTGGATCAGTTCTGAGAAAGTGACCCTTTTTTTTCGTTCGTACAGTGGTTAGGGTGTTACTACCGATACTTGTGTTTCATATTTGCCTATATTCGCCGGGGAAGTATGCATGTACGTAAAACACAACATGCGCAATTTACGGTCGCTTCTGGATGTTTGCAGTGTTAACATAACAACAGTTTTCAATATTTTGTTTTGATTTCAAACTTACATGCTATGGCTGGTCCTGGTGCTATTCTTTTCGTCGTACGTTTTTTTCGCGAATAGGCCTTCGTCATTTTGGTTCTCACGTTGACCCGAAGACGTCATGGTCATTTTTTGGGGGGGGGGGGTGGGGGTACTTCTAAAACAATAACTGAATGATTATGTCGCCCATCCATCTCTAGTAAAAAAAAACACTTGGTTAGATTTGACAAGAAAACAGTCAAGCTAACACCCAGCTGACTACAGCTAGGGTCAGCTAGTGCTGGACTATTTCTAGTCAAATTTATTTAGAGTATTTTTCCGTCAAAGAGTGGGAGGATATACTCCTCATCTACGCCCTTGAACTATAACCTGTAACTCTCACTACAACCTGTAGGCCCTATCCTAATTGTATAACGTTGGTAAAAAACTGTACCGGATGTTACCTATACCATGTAGGAAGGAATAGTTACAAAGTAGTGTGCCTTGTTCAATCCTTAATTACAAAAGCAGAAGATTCCATTTACGGAGTAAAGATGGCTATACATTGTATTTGGTTGGGTACGTCTTTCGTCTTCCTCTTCGTCAAAGACATGACATTGCCTGTGCCTTCATTGCAACATCAGTACATAATTTATGCGGAAGAAATATTGTGGAGCCGAGTTAGAATAAAGACAAATTGAAATGCTGTTCTTAAAGGCATAGGGTTGCCTTTCTCCCAAAAAGTAGCCTTCTGAATTAATATCAAAAGGCTAACTTGGATTTAAGATCGCACTGTAACTTAACACCCCTACTGTCATTCAGAAGAGATCAAGAAAAGTAGGTGGTTTCCAATGATCAGTCAATATTGACTGATTTTTGAAAATATAGAGTGCTATGTGTACATGTACAGACGAAATTGTGTTTCGTAGTCCTAATCCAAAGATTGTGCATGGTTTTCCACGGTTTTCTCGAAAAGTGTAATATCCACTGAGCTGAAACTTCAACAGGTTAGGTTTTGAAAAATTCTTCTTGACAATGACAAAATACATGACCAGCAAATGATCAAGTATTGCACCTAGACAATGGGGATATCATAGGCAACGCGTGTTTTTTTGTTTCATGCACTTGTCCATTTCATTGTCATCAATTGGACGGTGTTCTTGTTTTAGTTTACAATCTAAAAGTTCCTGGTCAGATTCGACCCAGTTTCGGGTTCTATTTGGTCTATTTGACTTTTCCGGGTCAAAATTACACCTTTGCCAAGGTTTCCGGGTAAAAATGACACTTTGCCAAGATTTCCGGGTCAAAATGACCAGGACAATGATCCAAAGAAGCATGAAAAGTGTCATTTTGACCATGGAGGAATGACCCAGAACAGTAATTCCGTTACTTAAAGGCAAATTACCGTGAAATTTACGGGAAACTCATGTTGAAATGACGGTCACCGTGATTTTCGGAAACCGTACCTGACCGTAATTTTACGGGTTTTTTTGTTGGCAACCCGTTTGACAGTGCTTTTACCGTAACATTACAGGCAAGTTTTAAAGTGTACCCGTTACAAACTTTAGCAGCAAAATTTATTTTGGCGTGATTTCCTGAGTTTCGAAGTGCACAGTGAACCCTTTAATCTTGCGCCCCAAAACAAGAAATAATCTTCTGACAAACTTCTAGTTGAGTGTGTGAGTGGAGATAATAATGGTTTATCCGAATTTTTCAACTTTAAAGAAATTCTTAAATGTTAACTTGAATTTACGGTTACCATTCTATATCACGATTTTCGTCTATCTATTATCTTATGCCTGAGCGCGCCATCTTGGTTTTGCTTGCTTTACACTGTTTAGGTTGTTTTTAACTTCAAGATTTTCTACATATTTTATCATATATGTAATACGGATTAAGAAAGACAATATAAAACATTTGAACTCTGAGTTAATGTCATGATAGGCCTAATTCCACAATTACAGGCATTAGAAAAATAATTTTAAAATGCAACTAATATTCAAAAGCAAGTAAGATCTGGTATTTTAATATAGATAAAGGTAAAAAGTTTCCTTCAATTTAGAAGAAGTCTATATGTTTTCCTACATGCATAACCCTGCTTTCTGTTGCAACAACATGTAACTTTCATTCATTTGACACAACTCTGCGCATGAAAAAGGAACAGATTTTTCGTTTCAATTGGACATGGGAGGCCAGGAAAAAAATTCGACTGGCTTTTACTGCTAAGTATTTGTTCATCATAATACTAATATGAGGCTCTGAAACAAGCAGAAATGTAAACACAATAAGTTGTAAGTCTTAACATTCTGCCTTGTATAAATTATTCTGTAGTTCATGTTTCTACATGTCTCTTGCGTCCTTATCAGGCGAGAACAAGACTTCTTAATAAGGGCACGTGGATAATCCGCAGAAGACACAAGCATGTGCAGCTTATCACTCGTCTGTCAATTAGCCCTAATTAATCCCCCAAGGCCAGGGATTCACACCCCTTGCTCGCGTGCCCAGACAAGATCCCAATACCACCTCTGTGTCCTTGTAACAAAAGAAGGGGGTAAGCCTAGGCCACCCCAGGTCCTATCACCCCCCCCCCCCCCAATCAACAACATTTTATTGTTTAGACTTGTTCAAGGACCTATCAGGGAACACCACACCTGGTTCTGTATATACGTGCACGCCCCTCCAGGCTGTGATTGACTTGGGACATGGTTTTCAAGTTGCGAGGGGTGTAAGGATTGGCCCTCCTGTGCAGGCTAGGGGTGCACCATCAGACAAAGGGAGTGTGGTAACCGCAAGGGCGCCACGGCGTATAATAAGCACGGGCTGCCTCACTGGTACACAGCACATTCTCTCTCGGCTATCGACCCGCGAACATCATCACCGACCAGTCCTGCGTTTATTTCGTCCAGTCTGCTCGCTCTAGTAACGACGATTCGTAGCGAGGATTCGGCCATTTTCGCAGCATTTTCAAGTTTAACTGTAAGTATTTTTCCTATCTTTATTTTGTTCTGCTTAGTTTTCAACCAATAGTATGGTAATTTGGCTTTTCGGGATCCGATTTTCACCCGCAAGTTGCGATGTCCGGAGCATCGATCACTGACAAATGCTGGACTGTTTTGTAAAACAGTACAGACGCACGCACTAAAATACTGCTGGCGCGGGATGATTTTCCTCTCTGATTGAAGTAAAGTATCCATCATTAAGTACAATTATTGATACAAATAATGAGGAAAATTCATGGTTTTTTTTATTATCATGAGTTTGGTCAACAATTCTCCAATTAAGACGTACATTATCCTTTTAATAGCTTCATGTTATAATAATATGCCGGTCATGCATGCTCTTTGCTAGTAGTAGTATACTTCCGCATTTCGTTGTTCAATATTTAACCGTTTCTCTTGACAAAATTCAAACGAAAATCCAATCTTCAGTGTGCACTGTTTTAATCATTTGACGCGAATTGGCAACACTGTTTCCCAACACTGCAGTTTGAACTTATTTTGTGACAAATTGTGTACTGTTGAATCGTATTTTCGATCATGGAAAATCTTGTTTTCCCTACATACATATTCTGTATGGGGCTATAATAAATTCTGCCTGTAAATCATAGCTTGAATACTAAAAACAACATCGATATTGGAACGATCTTTTGCCCTATGAAACTCAAGTGTGTAAAAAATATCTCTCAAAAAATATCACTGCATCATACTCGTGTATTTTAGCAAGAAAATCCAGTCAAACGAATTTCCCTCAAAATGGCGGGACGGTTACCATGATCGTAATTCGTATTCCCCTATGTATATACGTACATGTAATCTTAACGTACACGTACATAACGTGTACATGTACATGTATACTTTGTTCGTTGGTGTGCACACGTACGTACTATTCCACTGCCATACCATGCAGATCATGTGCCGAGGTCCTGACCTGCCGTGACGTGTTCGAGTATAATACTGTAGGCCGTGTCGCAATCGCGTGTTTGTCCTTGTCGACCTGCTTAGCTTGGGGTGGTTCCTCGTAAATCATCTAGATTTGTCAAAATACCACTCCTATCACGGTTACCCAATTTCTGATTTGTGACATATTGCAACAGAACCAATCAACAACCTCTTTGGTCAATTCGTCTTTGCAATAATGTGGCATTTTTGGCTTTTTTTCGTTTACTGGTTGATTGAGTCATAGGTTCAAAGGCAAAAACAGTATCGGTGAAAACTCAATCTTTGTCATAATTATCTCAGTAGGCCTACTGTCAGATCGTACTGAAATAAAACAAAATAATCTGAAGATTAAGTGTTCATATTTCAATCCTCATATTCATACACAATGTTAAGAAAGAATCCAGGTAAACAACGTTAGCATAATAATGACATTTTTCGATCGTTTGGAAACAAAGTACTTTCCTAGACCATGAATTTATCTTATCTCGCATTTCCGAAAGCCTACAGTTTGAAAAAAAAAGAAGTACCGAGTTGTGCCTTGTGGTGTTTTGATTGCATCATGGCATTTCTGTCAGATAAGATAAGGAAGTGTGGCTATCGATCTACATGTACAGTTGTCCAGGGTGAGCATAAAACCACGTGGCAGGACCAATTTTCGAATGAAGTTTTGCCTTTCACACTTTCAAGATCTAGGATATGAAAGCCCAGTCATTAAGCTTTCTTTCAGTACAAGAATAATTCAAATCACTCATGTACCTTTTCAAGTTACAGAATTTTGAAAATAAACACCGTTTTAAAGTTTTGTCCACGGATCACAAAATAAGTACAATGTAAGTTCTCTTTCAGCAAAACGAACACAATTCTCATAGGGATGCATGTGAATTGTTTTCGTTTTGCTGAAAGAAAACTTCCCTTTTTTGTGTTCCGGTGTTTGCGATCAAAATTCCGTAAACTTAAAAAAATACATGAGTGAATTGAATGATTCTTGCACTTAATCTTAAAGAAAGCTCATTGATTGGGTTTTCATATTTCCTAGATTTTGAAAGTGCAATAGGCAAAACTTCATTCAAAGATTGGTCCTGTCGTTTTGGTTTTGGTGTTTTTTTTACTCACCCTGTATATTTAAAGCATGAACAATTCAGTGTCATTTATGGTGAAAAAGCTATGATTCTGTCGATTTTTTTCTCTTGATTAATAAAGACACCTCTTCTTTGTCTTTACAGATTTCACGATGAGTGCCACGGTCATGCAGGCATCTCCCGCCCAGTTTGACCCATCGGCCACGGGGTCACTCTTCTCCTGTAGCCGGTCTGACATCCCATGCCACCACTTCTGTCTGCGGCACTCCAAGCCCTTGAACCAGGAGGTCGAAGAGTGGTTCATGACGGACGAGGTGGAGGAGAAGCCAGCCGAGGACGAGCAGAAACAAGAGGGGGTGGGGCTTAACCCGGAGGAGGAGGAGGAAGAAGACGATGAGGACAGGGACATGATGGAGGCCGGACTCCTGGATCAGCTCCTGGACGAAGCCTACGCACAATACTACGATGAACCAGACGAGTGGGAGGAGCTTGCTCAATGGTACACAACCCGCATTAACTGCGATGAGCCGTGGGAAGGCGAGGAGCAGGAGGACCAGTCATCCGGCGCGGTTTCGTCTGGTGCCGCATACCAACGTCAGGAAGACTTCCACCCGGCTTGGCGGCAGGACGTGGCGGGGACATCATCGCTGGCATCCACCAGCCACGGTGGGCAGAGGAGATCGTCAGAGCCTCAGCCGACTAGCAACGGTCAGCCCCACGCCACCAAGCGGCGAGACTGGGCCGAGATGGCGGACGAACAAGACAGAGAAGAGGCGATGGAGCTGTCGTCCAACACCCAGCAACTCCGCAGTACCAGCGCCGCCTGGAATGACAGCACGCGGGTCAGGGAATGTGAACTCTACGACACATTCAATGACCTATTATTCCCTGATCCAGAATCCGGACGATTGTAGAACACTCTCCCTTCTCGACTGAAATGAACTTGTAAATATTTACATTTGGTAATGATAGCACATTGGCCACCAATGCCATTTGCATTCTTTCCTGTAAACTGGTGATGGTTTTCGATTCTTTACAGTTAAGTTGCTGAACCATCATTTCGACAAGCAATAAAATAAATTCAGCTTTTAATATAAAAAATAATATCAGAATTATTCCGCTGTAATCATCATCAACCAGTCAACGATTAATACCTCAATGATTCTTGTACTAAAAAAGCTTATTAATTGGGCGTTCATATCCTAGATATTGAAAGTGCAGCATGCAGAACTTCATTTAAAAAAATGGTCCTACCATTTGGGTTTCCTTTTGTTTTGACTCTATCATTATCTTCAATACTTCTGCCTAGAGTATCAATTTTAGTACGTTTCGTTTTTGCATCGGTTATGAAGTTGTCTTAGTATAATTGAAAATATTTTATGAATTCTTAATTGAATACACTGGTCTGCATATTATTCAAGCCTAATTGAATAAATCTGGATATTTTTATGACACAAAACACAAGCTTGGTTTGACCCCTCTCCCTTATTACAATTAGTTAGCATATTGCAATAAGGGTTTGATAGGCCCAATAATTTTAATCTCGACTAGACCTCATTTTTAGTTCTACAACTCCAAAATTTCTGTTCAAAATACATGTAGTTGGCTTTGTACTTTGATTTCACGGCTAGTTTCATAGGCCTACATGTTAGCCAGTTATAGAACATGTGGATACTGTGATGAGAAGATTAACAAACGAAATACATGTACATCATAAACCTTCGAAACATCGCACATTATGCTTTATCCGATGGACAACATATTCGATTTAAAGGCAGATAGGCCTATATGCAGGATCATATGCATTTTAAAATCATCGCAAAACGAAGTATTATCAAAAAGCTCACTTGGATAGATCGTATACTGGTACTAAAACACCCCGTGGAATTATTCCGAGTGGCTTGCTGTCATTTAGTGATCTCGAAAAGTGATATCCACTAAGCTGAAACTTCAACAGGTTAGGTTTTGGACTCTTCTTTGGATTTTTAGTGGTGTTAGTATTGGAAATGAAAAAAAAAATGCATGAAAAGCAAATGATCCTATGAACTCAATACTTTTGGCTACTTATTTAACTTATTTTAGTCTCCGGAAATTTTAATAATTGATGAAAAAATCAGGTGTTAGTAAAAGGTCTCGAAAACGCCACTAGCAAAATTTCTAAGCTTGCTAATATTACAAAGTACCTTAGGTGCGAACGGATTTTTTGAACTCACCGCTATCTTCTGTTGTCCATAGGGATTAACGTCAATGGGTGGTCGGTGCATTCTTTAAAAAAGAACAAGGTGTCGGGTTGACACTGATGTATCGGTGACAAAAAACACAGGCCCTGTTAATTGGCCGCTCGTGTCGATTTAGAAGGAATAAACTATGGTCTTACCAATGTGGCTAGAAGTGATAATAGGTCTTAACGCGGATCTGTGGGGCGGCATTTAGCAAAAGGGTCGGGGCTCTCTGGAGTGTTAATTTGCGAGGGCGATTAAAATCAACAGGGGTAGGTCATGACATCAGGAGTGTTTGGAAACAGGCTTACGTTATGAAGCTAGCGGTTCATTTGCTCTCTGGGTGTTCTTGTTGACTATCATGAGGTGTTTACAAAACTCTTCCAAGATTACGATTTGTACTTTTTTCGTTCGTCTGGAAGTAACTTTTACATGTAAAGCTAGGGTCAATATGCATAGTCTGGTTTGAAGGGTGGTAGGCCTAGTGGGGCTCTCTGTTTTTGTTGCTAAAACAGAAACTTTTTTTGTGCTAGATTATTTTCGCATGTTTTAACAAGAAAGAGAAAGTAAACTCTGTCAGGAGCCCATCAGGCCGGCGTTTCTCTCCGGATTCCCCCTGGATGGGATGCTAGTCCATCGCAGGTTACTCCCCAGCTAATGCCGACACCCATTTATACTCCTAGGTGGGGAGAGGCAAGTGGGGTGAAGTGGCTTGTGCAAGGACACATTATGGCCAGCAGCTGGATTCGAACCCTTCACCCTCTGATCATAAGTCACGAACCCTAACCACTGAAAATTTGAATGTGCCACGTCGGTACTTTTTTCCAGACGTTGTAACAAAAGTTTGGGAATGTTAACAGCACGTGGCGCATTCAAACTATAGAACTTAATCCTGTTTGAGCACACGATATATCTAAGCATGCTACACCTACAGCAATTTCAAGATTTAAAAATGGACAGTTATAGGTGGACCCACGTTGCTTTTGGGTTTGGTCGTTTGCACCCCCCCCCCAACTTTGTACCACGGATGAGCCATGCATGGAGGTATCGTATATCTCCATGGTTGTAGGCCATGGTGTAAACATGGAGGAATCCATGGTGTAACATGGCCTCTCCTGACATGCCTTATCTCTGGTGATCTATTAGCTTTGGCCGTTCCAAGAACATAGCTCGTCCCCACTTTCTTTGAACTCTCATTAGGTGAAGTCTGTTTCTTGTGTTGACGTGTTACGCAAGATTTTGTGTTAGGCTTAATAATAGCGGTCATCTTGTTCAGATATTTTTTAACCAACACCTTGTTTATTGGAAGAACGCCCTCTAGAAATGTTTAGATACATTGAGGGCGCTATAACTGTGGACCATCGGCAGACAGCAGCGAATACATTTTGACATGTACTAAGTTGATCCGATCAGTGCTAAAAAAAATAATAATTACAGACTGAGTCCATGATAAGCTTTATTGATGAAAGTAAAAGGTATTTTAATTATCAAATGATTAAACTGAACTAAATAATCAGTAATTCCATTTCTTATTAAAGCATTGTTGCATAATACATTACCGCATTGTTTTCGGATTGCCCACTTTTACACGTTCCATGTAAAGTAATTTTTACTCATTTTCGACGAAAAACTTACACAAGAAAAGTTTGAAATAATGTATTTAGTCCAAAAACTTTAAGGGGAGGGGGCTTTCAACTCTACTATGGCTATTTCAAACTTTTCTTGTGTAAGCTTTCAACTCTACTACGGCTAATTCCTGGGTTTTTTTGTTCAGGGGGGGTCTCGACATTTGGGTTTCGTGTTTTTTTTTTTTTACTCACCCTGTATAAGTAGTTTGACCGTTTTTTGAGAACCTTTAACACAATTTGCATCCTTGCAGCATCTCCCTCTAGTACGGCAGGTGAGCCAGCTGAGATTGTGCCTTTGATGATACAAGCATGGTTTTTGGCACATAGTAAGAGTAGGCTATGTCGTGAGAAAGAGATTTGTCCTTTGACAAAAATGGGGTAGAACAACAGGCAATGGCAGCCATTTTGAAAATTGTGAAAATGGCTTGTTATTGCACCTTTATTTTTTCCCCAAAATAGTCTGGCCAAAGTATCCCTGCTATCCCTGCTATTTCCCCTATCTGCCCACTACCCAGATGAAATTGAAAAGCTTTCTCCCGCCAAACCCGTCTCCAACATCTAAGAATCGCACCTAATTGAAAAAAAAAAATAGTAAAGAAACCAAATACAATTGACTTTTCACTAGAAGATAGCTCTTGCCCTTTTTTTCACACCACGTAAGATTGAATTGAACAATGCCCTCTGTTGTTGGTCATTTTCAGCTTGAGCAAAATATAACTTGGAATAAACCATTTAGGTTGAGGGACGTGTTGAATTGCAAGTGGATACAAAAATTCGAATTGATTGAACATTACATTTAAATTTGCTCCCATATTGTCACTGTTGAATACCTTACGTCTATCTGTAAGTGCAACTGAGGATTTATATACTCACTCTTGCTTCATTACCCCTTGACAATTTGGAAATTCCCCCTAAAATCGATAATACAAAAGTCCAAACGCTTGGTAAAACTAGAACTTGTATGGCATTTTTAGTACGGTGTACTGTCAGTCGAGTGTGTGGAGAGTGGGGCTCTCGGGAAGTTGCACTTTTGTAATAAAAATTGTCTGGCACAGACACCCCAAAATGGCTCGAAACTGTACCCCCTTCGTTCTCCTTTGGATGTCAATAATTGTCTCCGTCCTTACGGGTATTACTGGCCTAACCAGGGATAATTTCTACCCCTTCGGCCTGGAGTACGGTGACTCTCAACTGGCCGTCGGCGACGCGGTACAGGGCTCCCTGGCCCTGCGTGTGCCGCTGCAGTTCCTGAACGTGGAGCACGACACTGTTTACGTGAGTATATATGGGGAGGTGGTGGGTGTGATAATGTATTGTAACATGATTTGAAGATCATTGGAGTTCCGTCCCCTCATGAATCCACTTCTTAGAAACTTTTAGAAACATTCTTGCAAAAAATAGTAAAGTTGATTAAATATAATCGTGTTGTGTGTGGTCAAACTGGTCAATAAGTTTAGATCTGAATAGTTGAGTTAAACCCGCCCCCAATTTTTGTGTTAATTATAAATTATGCAAGTGAATTTTAATTAATATGCAAGGGGTCTATTTTGCAAATAGGTTCCTTTTCTGTGTGGAAATGATAAAGTAAAAAATTTTCCTTACATCTTTCCTATAAAATTACTTATTGAGCTTGGCTCAATGTTGAAATATTTTTATATAGTGAAACTAGTAAAAGAAATGTCTAACTTGATCATTTTTGGAAATTGTTTTCACTGTAATCTATTCAACCATGTTCTTATTCCTCCATGATTCAACTAACCATTTACATGATTTATAGCTTTTTACATGCATGACTCGAACAGTTCATACAGTACAGTACTGATACAGTGATAGCATAAGGGCCTACACCTGTCAAGCGAAGTTTGACTTTTTTTCAGTGTCACTGACACATGACAGCTGGGATGGTGCAGATTATCAGGGTACCGGTAACTCTGGCATTACTGTTTGTAATTAAATTTCAGAGACAGGTTCCGTTATGTAAAATGCCTTTACTTTATATGACAGCAAAGGTAAATATGCATGCGCAACATTCAATTCTGGCCTCATGAAGTTAAACCACACATCACAAGTGTGTGGAGTTGAGAGGGGGTGGGAGTGAGGTAATAGGTTGGGGGGGGGGGGCAGGGGGTAATAGGGTGGGGCAGAAGGGTTCATCATTTGATCTTCAAATCAAGGTGTTATTTGTATTGAAACTGTTAAGAAATGAATAGTCGCTTCAACAGTAAGTCTGCATAATATTATTTTCACAGGCACATTACACCTACATGTACATTAGGCCTACATTATTCAAACCATCTTTTGACAAAAATTTGAATTAATATTGGCTCTTCATCAGAAAATAAATGGGTAACATTTAGTTGTACAAGTTTCTATAATAAATTTGTAGAATTTTTGTAAACTTAATTTTGTTAAATTGAAGAGTTTAAACTCCCTCCGTCTATGCAGTTCAAAAGGTACGTGACTGTCCATATGAACTGGGTCATTTTGTAAATTGTGCCTGGAGCAGCCGAAATGAAATTAACCAGAAAACTACAATAAGCCCATTGAAAATGACCCACTTTTGTAGTAACCCTTTGTAATAAAGGTGGAGTTTATCAAGGTGTGAGAGAGTAAAAAAAAATAATCTCGGATTACACATTGTAACTCCCCTAATCCCTGCTGTATAATACTGATGGTGACCTCACCGGACAGTAACAGAATAACTGTGTCACCTTTTCTTCACAGCCTGATCTTGGGTTATAATCAGCGTTCAGTGAAACAAAAACCCTAACCTGCTTGTGGCAAGTGGTGTATGTACCTTTAAAATCCTGTATCAGCTGGTATCAATATGTAGGGTATTTTTGTAAGTGCACGTCATACAATGTTGCACATGATGTTTTAGATAGTTTGTTCCTACTATGGCTAGTTGGTGAAAATTTTGGATTAAATTTTTGAGATGGGGAATTTTCCAAGATGGATTTTTCCATTTTTTCCTGACTCTTTTGCTAATATTTTTGTTTCCAAAGGAACCATCACCCTTTCTACCAGATTTTGATAATGTATGTAAAATTTATGTGTACATAGCAGCAATTTTTAGAAACACATAAAAAGACAAAATACAATTTATATTGCAAATGTATGATATAAAATAAAGGGTTGAGGAGGTGTGCGGGGAAAAAGGAAGTGGGCGGGGACAAAAGGAAGTGGGCGGGGACGAGAAACTTCATTTATTTTGACTTGGCCCTGATGAGCCCATTACTGTACAAAATTGAATTATATTTTATTTCTCTATTCTCACCACTGTAGTTTAATTCAGAACATTTGGAAGAGTTTAATTTGTAAGAAAATGTAAAATTGGCTCTAACCCACCCCCCCCCCCCAAAAAAAGAGGAGGGAAAATCTTGAGGAAATAACTATATGTGTACTGTACATATACCTCTGATCCAATGAGTTTTTGGATTTTTTCTTGGTTCCGGCTTACAATGTCGAGTCCATCAGATTTTGCAAGAACATGTCATAAAATGTGATGACAATGGCATGCAGCTTCAGTGTAGGTAAAGCTGTTTGTCGTCCTGTTCAAGTCCACATGCACCGTATTGTACATGAGCACGGTCACTGCCTAAAGATGAGATTTCCTAGAGACATTTAGAATGCAGTCGCGACTCGTGTATGAGTTGTACAATGTATACATGTACAAATATGTATGTGCAGTGATTTACATACTGCCTTACCGGAACATGTACAAGGACACTACTACATGGTCTTGCCAAACCTTGTCAACTTTCACTCCAAACACTTACATACTGGGAATGTTCAGCCGAAGCACAAGTACTGGTATCCTCCATAGATCTACATGTATAGTCGCCCGAGATGATCAGAACTAATTTGCAGGCCACGTATTCGGTCATCTGGTTTATTTTCAAGCAACAATTAAAAAGTTGAAGGTTTTAAATCCTGTCTAAGTAAATTTCAGGTACATAGTGTAAAGTTACATGCATGTGAAGGGCATGTACGTACATAGGCCTACAGTGTGCATACGCCTACATGTACATTTGCTTTGTGTGAGATTTGAGTATTAAAAAGACAAAACATAGCCCCAAATTCATGTTGTATATTTATTTGCAATAATCTCTTGGTATATAGCACTGTGTGACTGAGCAAAGTGTGGTCACTTTAGAGTAAATTTTGCAGTCGGCTTGTGTTTCCTCTGACGCCATTCATCCTGAGTGTAAATTTGTAAATTTCCTCCTTTAAAATAAAAAATACACTCGACAGCTACACTCCAATTTTACAGCTGACTTTATTACAATACTTGTTGACCTGTGTGTGTACATTGCCCCTCATATGCTCCTCTTGGTTGCAAAGTTTATTTTCATTGATCCATAACCGCTGACCCGCTAGTCTAATTTTCCGACTGCAGATAGCACAGCAAGTTCTGATTGCACTCCTGGAGTGTGTTCATTAAATGTCTAGTCCTTGGCAGGGGCTCCCCGCTGACAGATTCATTTATTCTATCAGCTCCAACTAAACAGTGTATCAATCACCAGAAAGGTTGTCTAGCGGTCCTAGGGTTTTACCCAAGCTATTTGTATTCAGTCTTTTGGTTTACCAGTTATTGGGATTTTGCCCAACATTTGTATAGTTGATGCCATTCAATTAGATATTTCCTGCTGAAATGTGTTCCCTGGCCTGATTGAACAGATGTAGGCCGTCTTCCAGATCATGGCAGCCCACATTCAATGTGTGCATTCATGTCTTTGCGCCACAAGCTAATGTCAATAATGTACAATTTTCTACAAATACCGTGTGCGTGTGCATGTACCGTGCAAGTCACAATCCATGTATGGCAAAAGTAAACAAGTCTAGTCGAGTTCTAGAGCAGGCAGTCCTAACTCGGGACAAAAACAGGAAGAGGTTATTTTTTGTTTGTTTAATGCAAAAAAACAAACTCCATTCATTTCAAAGCCTCTCCGTCAGACATGACTGAAATTGAATAAAAATTCCTGGGCTGCCTTTGCCGTGCCCTTTTGTGGATCACCAACCCTGGGGTATTTTGAGAGTTCGCGCCGGGGCTGGGGCCGGGGCCGGGCCCATCCCATCATGGATCGTGTAGCAAGCTTTTTGAACTCTCGATAGGAGTTCATGTCGATAGGAGTTCATGTCGTGGAGGGACGTTTCTTTGGTTATATTTCACACCCGATGCAGTCAGCGAGACTGGGAGTTTGTGTTCGTTCAACCCATGGGATATCACCTAATACAATGCCCCTCTGTGGGGTACAAGCCCCAGTGTTTGCAAACAGTAACCCATCCACTTTTTTAGTACATCTCTACATGTATAGTTTCCCTTGATCCTTTTGCTGGAGGTCATACTTACTTTGCGGTTACATCAAGTGCCTGGGTTAGTTAACACCCGGAGGATAGTACAGCCTTTCAGTTCAGTTAAAAATAGTTTGGGGATGATGCATTTTTTTGGGGTATAGCGTTTTGCTTTTCTTGTACTGTGTAAGTGACTAGTAAATATTGCATTCGTCGAATTTGCATAACGATACATGGTTAACGTTTTTAAACTCTCGTAATGCGAGCCATTTAAATTTCATCCAGATATTCAAAATGGTGACATTAGATAAAGTTATGGGCAGGGAACTTTTAATTGGCAGGGACTTTTAAGAAATGATTGAACATGAATGTGTGCAACTTGCTCTATGTGGTGTGTGTTGCAATGCTGTTACTAGTTTTAAGCATGGCACTGGTCAGTTGGGCACCATTTTTCCAGCATGGAAGAAATCCTTAAAGGGAAAATACAACATTTGCAAACATCAAAAAATTAAACTACCAAATCATTTTGAAATACCTTGCTGGACTGTTAGTGAATGACAGTGTAAAGCATCCTGTAAAATCATGGCACCTGGTATACTGTCATTTTCAAGAAAAGTAGTATTTTTGTATCAATTTCCAACTCTGGTCGGCCGACCAGCGTTGGAAAAAAACTGGCTTTTTTTCAAATACTGGCCCCAATTGACCATCGCACTTGTTTGCAATCGATTACACACCTATGAACGGGTACAAGCCAGCTAGACCGGTTCCCTGACCTTACAATTCCCCAATGTATGTAAACTGCTCTGTTTCTTCTTATATGGAGTCAGGGAACCAGACTACAGGAAAATGATCGTTTTTCTTGGTTTTTATAGCATTTTCAAACCCAAAACCTCAAAAAAGTCAGTGTAACCATATTTGCTATATATTTCCAACCCCCCAATTCCATCCATTTCTGTAAATTACAGCAAAAGCAAATGATG